GACGTCGAGAAGTTCGGTGTAATCCACAACCTGGAGGATGTTGGGGCTCAGTGTGACGGGGGAGGTGGGACAACACTGAGACATGGTCGGTGGAGAGGTTAGTGTGTATAACAATGGTGTTAGTATGGTTGGTGGTGGTGGTGGAGAGAGAGAGAGAGTGCAGGAGCACACGATAGGGCTTGTTACCGTCACGTGGATCCGTCGGGTGGTCGGGACGGTCAAAGGACGGACGTCGCCTCTAGGTACGTCTGAGACAGATCAAGGATGCTCTTACTGGGTGGTGGAGGCGTCCTTCAGACCAACCAAGGTGCTGGGAGTCCAGAACCGTCTTAGCAGTAATAGACTAAGTAGGTAATTAAACTAAACTACATATACCACTCTATTTATTTCTCACATATTAGACTCCACACCAACCTTTAAGAATCTCAATGAAACTTACTGAGAAAAGCGAATATTTGCGACACTCTCCAGGGAAAACACGAGGAAGTTATGGATCATCTTACTTCGTTCGGCTCATGTTCAAGGTAGTGGGAATTATTCAGATTTTGTTTTCAGTGTTTAGTGTACCGGTTTCATCTTATTTCATCAGTAGAGGAAGGAAGGTGACCGATAGACAGATACATTGAGTGAAACATTTGAGAAAACTGGAGGTAATGACGAAACTTATTGGAGGATCTTTGATATAAAAAAAAATAATAATACTAATAATAATAATAAATAATAAACAATAATAATAATTATAAATAACAATAATAATAATCATAATGAATAATGATAATTATAATGAATAATAATAATAATAATAATAATAATAATAATAATAACAATAATAATAAATCAATGAAATCTCACCTTTGTTTCATAATAAAACCAACAGTGACCTGTAACCCCAGCACACACACACACACACACACACACACACACACAGACACACACACACACACACAGACACACACACACACACACACACAGACACACACACACACACACACACACACACACACACACACATATCTTCCTTTATTTCTCTTGATTATTACCTTGTTTCCCTTGAGCTCTTCCACGGGGCATCTCACGAGTGGATCGACCAGGGGGCCCTCAGCATTTCTTGAGCATGTCGGCTGATGATACTATTAAACTCTGACCAAGAATAACCCGTGTGTGCTGAGGTCTTGCCAACACCCGCAACATAAAGCATTACTTTTATTTCCATCCAGAGCAAAATTTCTTGGATATGTTTTCTTCTTATGTCTCTCTCTCTCTCTCTCTCTCTCTCTCTCTCTCTCTCTCTCTCTCTCTGCCTATACCTTTCTTTCTCTCTCGATCTCTCTGTTTCTATCTCTTTGTTAGTTTGTTTCTGTCTTCTGTGTGTCTTGTCTGCCTCTGACTTTTTCTCTATATCCCCTAAGAAATTCTCTCTCTCTGTCTCTCTCTCTCTCTCTCTCTCTCTCTCTCTCTCTCTCTCTCTCTCTCTCTCTCTCTCTTTCTCTCTCTCTCTCTTTTGTGTTTTCTGTCATGTTGTAAAATATATAACAGTAATTGTCCCTCTCAGTCAGTCAGTCAGTCAGTCAAATAATATTCCATTCAATGAGTCAATCAATTTTTCATTCATTCTGTCTATTTTTCACTCAGTCAGTTTTCAGTCAGTCAATTCCTCGGTCTAACAGTCAACTTTTCATTTTCTTTGTGGTCAGTTTATTTGTCTATTCATTGAGAACAAGATTGTATGATTTTATCGTATAATTTACCAATAAATTTTCACCTATACTTAGTCGAAGTTTTGTAAATAAATTCTCATAAATTGCACCTCAAAGATTTATCATTCTTAATATTTTTCTATAATATTTTGAAAGTTTATGATAAATTACATGTGGTTTACTTTCGTTAAAATGCAAACCGATAAAAAAATTATTCTTTACTTTCGAATAAACTTTCTTTTTTTTATCTTCAATAAAACTTGATAGGAGTAAAATATATTCTATCTGTTTGGGATTTTTTCTTTGTTTTCATCTTTTTTTGACAGTAATAACGTCATTAAAATAAACAGACGATAAGGATTTAGTCTATCTGTATCGTGTGTAAGATTGCGTCACCTTGGACCACCTTGAGGGTATGGAGGAAAAAGTACTCGATTTGTCTTGGGTAATATTACATCACTGGGTCGAAAATTACACAGGAAAAATAATGTATTGTACTTCGACCTGTTTTTGTGTGAGACTAAACTAAAGGAATGTGATCCCCTGAAGATTAGGCACCCCGTCTCTCTCTCTCTCTCTCTCTCTCTCTCTCTCTCTCTCTCTCTCTTGCAGGTGATACACGCTGGCGTAACAGCCGCCCCCAGCGCCATCACGAGCGATCAACAATGCCAACACGAGCGATCAACAACACCAGCACTAAAACATCAACGCCATCACGAACGATCAACAATGCCAACACAGGCGATGAACAGCGTCGGCACGAACGATTAATTGCAGACGATCGCAAAAGAAGGTGTTGCAAAATGTATCGCATTCTCTCTCTCTCTCTCTTTCTCTCTGGGTTATATCTTATGGCAGTTTCTGAGAGAGAGAGAGAGAGAGAGAGAGAGAGAGAGAGAGAGAGAGGTTGTTGTATTGGTGTTGACGAAGTTTCTTATATATTATAATTTGAGAATAAAATATTTAGAGAAAGAAAGAGATTGAGAGACAGATAAATTAATCTCATAGCTTAGTTATAAGGTCTTACATAATGGAAGTTTAGACTGTGTTACAATATGCCACACTGTGTTAAAATATGCCACACTGTGTTACAATATGCCACACTGTGTTAAAATATGCCACACTGTGTTACAATATGCCACACTGTGTTAAAATATGCCACACTGTGTTACAATATGCCACACTGTGTTAAAATATGCCACACTATGTTACATTATGACACACTGTGTTTCATTATGCCACACTATGTTACATTATGCCACACTGTGTTACATTATGCCACACTGTATTACAATATGCCACACTGTTACATTATGCCACACTGTGTTACATTATGCCACACTGTGTTACATTATGCAACACTGTGTTACAATATGCCACACTGTTACATTATGCCACACTATGTTACATTATGCCACACTGTGTTACAATATGCCACACTGTGTTACAATGCATTACACATCATCTTACCTACGGAATATTACATAAAAGCATATATATAAAACAGTACACTGCATTACAAAACCTAACCTTTGTCACACATTACTGAACAGCGTTACATTACATTAAACCACAATAGGATACATGGTGTTACAAAAGGTTACCTCACGTTACATAATAATACAAAAGGTTACATAAGAAGGTTAGAGGGAGATGGAAGGTTAAGTTACATAAAACCTTAGGACCTGATGAACAAACCTAATACATTGTAGTCTAGATCAGGAAATACAATGATTACTTGTTTTTTTTTTAATCTAAGTGAATTTTAGGTAGAGAGTATCGGTGTAATTTTGTCTAATAATTGGTGATAAGTTAATTATTCTATTTATGGTAGAGTCACAGTGTAATTATGTCTCTCTCTCTCTCTCTCTCTCTCTCTCTCTCTCTCTCTCTCTCTCTCTCTCTCTCTCTCTTCTCTCTCTCTCTCTCTCTCTCTCTCTCTCTTTCTCTCTTTCTCTCATTTTATCTTATTCTCTTTCTCTTTCTCGATCTCTCTCTATCTCATTATATCTTATTATCTCCTTCTCTTCCATTAATTTATTGTAATCAAGAAATTTAGTCACCGTACTCAAGAAATTTCGTCATCGTACTCAAGAAATTTAGTCATCGTACTCAAGAAATTTAATACCTAAGGATTTAAAGAAGGATTACCTTACCTACTGGAGTTTTACGACCGTCAGCCCGTACACCAGATTATACAACAGGTCGCCTCCCTCCTGATGAAGACCACGACCTTGTTGGAGTGGTTAACCCTGCTGTGACTCCTCCATTATCACCTTCTACAGCAGGTTGTTCTTCCAGTAGTAGTAGTTAGTGATAATAGCTGTATGTATGTACGTATGTATGTATGTATGTATGTATGTATGTATGTATGTATGTATGTATGTATGTATGTATGTATGTATGTATGTATGTATAGCATAATTATCTGTCTGTCTATGTTTGTGTCTGTCTGTCTGGTCTCTGTCTGTCTGTCTGTGATCTCTCTCTCTCTCTCTCTCTCTCTCTCGCTCTCTCTGTCGGGTAATTTTCGATGCCCTTTATGTTCCTCCTTCGCTGGTCTCCTTCACACCTTAAGTCTTCCTTCGTCTTCCTTCAGGTGAGTCTTGTTAGCCTCTTGGTCAGTAGTCCTGCCAGCTGGAGTACTTCTGCTCGATGAACAAGCCTCTCGTTCTGTATGGTTCTTTATCTCGTTATCTTTTTTTCTCTTTTTCTATCTCGCAATCCATTTCGTTATCTTCTATTTTATGTCTATCTCGCTATCTCAATCTTTTACTTCCCTCTCGTTATCTTCTCTTCTGCTTCCTTCTCGTTATCACTTCTGCCTCCTCCTTATCCTTTCTGTCGCCCTCTCGCTAAGACTCCTACCTCCATCTCGCTATCTTACCTTTTACTTCCCTCTTGCTATTCCTCTCTTACCTCCCTCTCGTTATTAGCCCTACCTCCCTCTCGCTATTACCCCTACCTCCCTCTCGCTATTACCCCTACCTCCCTCTCGCTATTACCCCTACCTCCCTCTCGTTATCTCCTAAACAATACCCAAATCGCACGGACTCGCTTCTGACAACAAGGGGAACACGTGCTATTTGAGTCGCCTGCTAAGTGTGTAAGGAGAGCTAGATTTATTTTCTATGGCGTGAGGGGGATGTAAGGGGGGTGGGGGTGTTAGGGGGTGTTAGGGAATGTAGTGGGGTGTAAGGTGGGTGGAAGGGGGTGGAGGTTGAGGGGTGTTACCTTGCTCCATAGGACAGGTATTAGAGGCGCCAGTAGACCTGTAAGGCTCCTGGGGATGTACTATATAAGAGGATCTATCAGGTGTGTGTCCTCACTCAGAAATCGACGACAGTGTTGGACAGACCATGAAGATTGTGAGTTTGTTAAGGGGGAAGACTTGAAGATAAACAAACAAATAATAACAAGAGTGGTTGATCGTATTGGGTAATGTGTGTGTGTGTGTGTGTGTGTGTGTGTGTGTGTGTGTGTGTGTGTGTGTGTGTGTGTGTGTGTGTGTGTGTGTGTGTGTGTGTGTGTGTGTGTTCAGGATCATAGCGTGGTGACAGGAGCCTAATACAACCTTCTTATGTCTTTTCCCTCGTCAGGTAGCTCTTCTCTTCGTTGCCGCAGCAGCAGGCGTGGTGGTCCTGGCAGCCCCCGCCCCCCAGGACGTGGAACAGCAACAACAAGAGGAAGTAGTGCAGGAGGAGGTACAGGAGGTGGTGGTACTGGTGGAGGAGGAGAAACTGCGTCAACCAGAGATTCTCTTAGATGAACGTGTCCAACCCCACAATGGCATCTACTCCTTCCAAGTGGAGACGGAGAACGGTATCATTCACACTGAAGAAGGTGTCGTAGGTTCCAAGGGCCAGACCAACGTGCAGGGCGCCTACAGGTACAATGGTGGTGATGGTGGTGGTAGGCATTTGTGACTCAAGTTAAATATATGTGAATGCAGGCGTCTAGGAAAGGTGAAACAAAGCTTAGAGTATCCTCTTTCCCTACTTTAGAAAATAAAACTAAAAGTTACTGGAATCTATCTCGTTGTGGGTGACTAATACTGTGATGCACTAGGGTAGCTTATTAAGCCCTCACTGACCTCTTGTGATTGTCTGACTTTAAATTATTTTTTGAATCATTTGGAAAGATTATTAAACTTTTCAGTGATCCAGTTTGAGGCTCAAGCAATGACTTAACAGTATTCAAAATTTCCTGAGGGTCGTGTTATCATTGACCCCGTTTGGAGACAATTGTTCAACAGGATAATATTAAAGCACCTTTACGGTGATGGTTTAACCCTTTGAGGAAGATGGCTAAAGGGGACAAGTCTTTAAGAATGGGTAACGCTGTTTATCCATTTTCTTTCATTTTCTATCTTACAGGGAGTTGTTCCTTATTTTCAGCTTCATCCTGGACGGCGGGGAGGTGGTGGAGGTGCGCTACACGGCGGACGAATTTGGCTTCCAGCCTAAGTCTTCCCTGTTACCCGTGGCCCCAGAGTTCCCTCACCCCATTCCACAGTTCGTCCTCGACCAGATCGCCTTCGGTGAGGAACAGCGACGTCTGAAGGCCCTCAGATTGCAGGAGCTAGAGCAGCAGGAACGACTGGAGCAACAACAGACCGTTCAGTTGCAAGTACAAGAAGAGGTACAAGACGTGGTGCAGCAGCAGGAGGAGACACAGCTGAAGGCGGAACAACAGGTGGAACAGCAGGAGGTGGCGCCAGAATGAAGGATCCTGTAGTGTAGACGGCGATGGCGGTAGGAGGGAAGGGGTGGTTAACATAAGTGAGATACTCGCAGACTACGACACAGGTGACAATAAAACTAATAAATCAATGCATTGTTTTATCTTATGAATTGCCTTATTTATTGCCTTATTTATTATTCTGCCTTATTTATTATTCTCTAAAGATCTTAACGCTGTAACTCTATAACTAATGCTTATAAATGGCTCATGTAAGTTACGACAGAAAAGTGGAACCCTGATTGATAGATGGGGAAGCTGCTCATAAGTTAGATGTATAGGAATGAAAATAAACTACAAGGGAAATATAGATCGGCTGTTGAAGTGTAGCTTATTGAATGCTGTGATAAAGTAATGTAAACCCTCTGAAGACGATGGTTTAACTTTAACCCTTCGAGGACAATGGCTTAAACCTTTGAGGATGATGGTTTGAAACTTGAGGACAATGTTTTAAGTTAAGGAGATGAGGGGGAGGAAGGATATCGGGGGAGGGGGGGGGGCAGGAGGAGGAGGGAAAGGAGTGGGAGGGAGAGTTGGAACTGTGTGTGTGTGTGTGTGTGTGTGTGTGTGACAACGACTGTATATTTGTATATGACGAAGGCTGTATGACAATGACTATATGACAGTGACTATGAAAATGACTGTATATGACAATTGTATATGACAGAGATTTACAAGAACGAGTCAACCTAAAACTAGGATCTACAGGAACGAGTCAATTAAAAACTAGGATTTACAAGAACGAGTCAAACTAAAACTAGGATTTACAGGAACGAGTCAATTAAAAACTAGGATTTACAAGAACGAGTCAAACTAAAACTAGGATCTACAGGAACGAGTCAATTAAAAACTAGGATCTACAGGAACGAGTCAATTAAAAACTAGGATTTACAAGAACGAGTCAAACTAAAACTATGATTAAATTAATAGATCAATAGCTTCTAAAGATTCCAATGTCTATCTTTTCGTCAGGTATTAGGTTAGGGTAGATTAGATTAGGTTAAAGTAGGTTAGGGTAGAGTAGATTAGGTTAAAGTAGGTTAGAATGGCTAAGGTAGGTTAGGTTATGTTAGATTTGCTTAGGGTAGTTTAGATTAGGTTAGGTTAGATTAAGTTAGGTTAGTTTAGATTAGATTAGGTTAGGTTAGGGTAGGTTAGGGTAGTTTAGATTAAGTTAGGTTAGATTAAGTTAGGTTAGTTTAGATTAGATTAGGTTAAAGTAGGTTAGAATGGCTAAGGTAGGTTAGGTTATGTTAGATTTGCTTAGGGTAGTTTAGATTAGGTTAGGTTAGATTAAGTTAGGTTAGTTTAGATTAGATTAGGTTAGGTTAGGGTAGGTTAGGGTAGTTTAGATTAGGTTAGGTTAGATTAAGTTAGGTTAGTTTAGATTAGATTAGGTTAGGGTAGGTTAGATTAAGTTAGGTTAGTTTAGATTAGATTAGGTTAGGGTAGGTTAGGGTAGTTTAGATTAGGTTAGGTTAGATTAAGTTAGGTTAGTTTAGATTAGATTAGGTTAGGGTAGGTTAGGGTAGTTTAGATTAGGTTAGGTTAGATTAAGTTGGGTTAGATTAGATTAGGTTAGGTTAGGGTAGGTTAGGGTAGTTTAGATTAGGTTAGGTTAAGATGGATTATCTCTATATATGCCTGATTCTGATTGACTGACTAACTGACTGAACTGATCTACTGAGAGAAAATTTGTCTCCTTCTTGATCCATAATTTACCTCCAGACTTGAGAGATGTACAGAGAGGATCTCACTTATCTCACTTACTTCACTTATCATCACTTATCATCACTTATCTCACTTATCATCACTTATCATCACTTATCTCACTTACTTCACTTATCATCACTTATCATCACTTATCTCACTTATCATCACTTATCATCACTTATCTCACTTACTTCACTTATCATCACTTACTTCACTTATCATCACTTATCATCACTTATCTCACCTTACTTCACTTATCATCACTTACTTCACTTATCATCACTTATCATCACTTATCTCACCTTACTTCACTTATCATCACTTACTTCACTTATCATCACTTATCATCACTTACCTCACTTATCATCACTTATCATCACTTACTTCACTTATCTTCACTTATCTTCACTTATATATGTGTTTAAAGGCCTTACTTGTTAATGTACAGTAATCCATTATATAAATCATATATAACATCCACATATAACATCCACATATAACATCCACATATAACATCCACATATAACAACCACATATAACATCCACATATAACATCCACATATAACATCCACATATAACATCCACATATAACATCCACATATAACATCCACATATAACATCCACATATAACATCCACATATAACATCCACATATAACATCCACATATATCATCCGCATATAACATCCACATATAACATCTACATATAACACCACATATGACATCCACATATAACATCCACATATAACATCCACATATAACATCCACATATAACATCCACATATAACATCCACATATAACATCCATATATAACATCCACATATATCATCCACATATAACATCCACATATAACATCCACATATAACATCCACATATAACATCCAACTATAACATCTACATATAGCATCCACATATAACATCACATATAACATCCACATATAACACCACATATAACATCCACATATAACATCCACATATAACATCTACATATAACACCACATATGACATCCACATATAACATCCACATATAACATCCACATACATCGTCCACATATAACATCCATATATAACATCCACATACATCATCCACATATAACAGCTACATATAGCATCCACATAAAACACCACATATGACATCCACATATAACATCCACATATAATATCCACATATTTATTTTATTATTATTATATTTTTTTACGGGAATTAGCCCACCCGGGCACAGGTCGAACGACCCACAGCGGGGCTTGGGGGGACGAAAAAATAAGAACAAAGAAATTAAAAATAGTGGAGAAAAAGGTTATACTGTATTAATCTACACCACGAAGATTCCGGAAAACCAGCTTTTTAAAGTGAGACATTGTATAACTGTGGAAGCACAGAAGAAGGCAGAGCATTCCACAGTTTGGCTGTGTGAGGAAAGAAGGATGTACTATAACGGGTTATTCTAGTGTGACCGACATCCACAGAGAAACGGTGGGCACCGCGGGCAAGACGAGTGTTACGAGCCCACGGCCTTGCCGGCGGTACACAGGATGCCAAATCCCCTGAACATTGCCCGTTAAAGTACCTGTAAAAGAGAGAGAGTGAAGCAACATTGCGGCGAAGAGAAAGGGAAGAGAGATTGTCAACTAAAGAAGGAGAGTTAATGAGACGAAATGCCTTTGATTCCACTCTATCTAATAGTTGGACAGAAGAAGAGCCACCCCAGATATGAGAGCAGTACTCCAAGTTAGGACAAATGAATCCCTTATATACTTGGAGCAACTGCTCAGGAGTGAAGTAGCTACGGCATCTGTACAGCATTCCCAGCTTTCGGGAGGCAGCTTAACTATGTTAACACCACATATAACAACCACATATAACACCACATATAACATCCACATATAACATCCACATATAACACCACATATAACACCACATATAACACCACATATAACATCCACATATAACACCACATATAACACCACATATAACATCCACATATAACACCACATATAACACCCACATATAACACCACATTTAACATCCACATATAACATCCACATATAACACCGCATATAACAACCACATATAACACCACATATAACATCCACAAATAACATCCACATATAACACCACATATAACATTAATCAACCGTGAACCTGCCGAGCACTCCTCACTAATTATTATCAAGGCTATTATATAAGTGAACAATAACCTTCAAGATCACCTGGCTGGCGGGTGTCGCAGGTAACAGGAACAACCATGTCACCTGAGCCTCTCTACTGGTTCCCGCTGGCTGCCTCCCCCTATATAAACAACGAGGGACGACCCACTCCCTTATTAGATGGTGGATCACACTCAGGAAGCCATGTGGAGCACCGTGAGTGAGAACAACCATGGAGGAGGAGGAGGAAGAGGAAGGGGAGGAGGAGGAGGAGGAGGAGGAGGAGGAGGAGGAGGAGGAGAAGAATGGCGAGGAGGGGGAGGATGACAAGTTATGTGGGTCTGGTTTCAATAAGGTCAATATGTTTGTTGATGTCATCTCGTTAACGGTGATAATGGAGTGTTCTCTAGATACGTGTGACTGTGTGTGACTCTTGTCTTCAGGCCCGGGTAAGAAATTTTAAACACCTGTGAATATTTTGCTCCGTCTCAGAAAATACTGCTACAAGTCACATCATTATTCAGTACTCGGTTTTATTTTTGTTGGGGAACGTTTGTGACTATTTTACAGATCTGCATTTTTTTATATATTTTTTTTCTATACAACAGCCGAGACCCTTAGTGTACGAGGAAGTGTTACTCATAAGAACATAAGAAAATAAGGAGTCTGCAATAGGCCGGTTGGCCTGTGCATGGTAGCTCCTGTCGAGAGTTACTACCACTCTCTATCATCCATGAATCTATCTAGCCTCCTTTTGAAACTTTCCAGAGTACCCGCACTTACTACAAAGTTGCTAAGCTTGTTCCACTCGTCCACCACCCTATTTGTGAACTCATACTGAGAATAACTTCACCAGCGATACATAAGACAAGAAGTGAATATTATTTTGCTAGGTTGACCCATCATCAGTGCCCGGCCTCTGTTATACGCTGGAGAGAGACTTAACGTGATTGATGAGCGTTTAACAGTTGGAGTCTTTCTATCATAACCTGAACCTCAGCTGATGTATTAATCCTAGACCTCCTCCGTCAGGTGACTGTCGTGCTTGTGGCGGTGGTGGTGCTGGCAGCTGCTGCCCCTCAGGATCTAGAGCAGCTACAACAGCAGGTGGATCAGCAGGAGGAGCAGAAGGAGCGACGTTCTCCGGAGATCCTTTACGACCAGCGCGTCCAGCCAGAGAATGGCGCTTACTTCTTCCACGTGGAGACTGCGGACGGCCTCGTGTACAAGGAGGAGGGCCTGGCGGGCGCCAATGGCCAGAGCAACGTCCAGGGCGCCTACAGGTACGTCAGGGGATCTTCCTTAGGTTGTCTTGGCACATAGTACAGTGTTGTAAAGGCCCAGACCTAACCACTATTAGGGTTAAGTGAGATCCGTCGTAAGAGACTAATCAATCTTTATGGGTCCCAGATGGTAATGGGCGCCAATCCTAATGGATGGATTAAGCTGAGGCTTATTAGAACTGGGCTCTATTAGGACTGAATTATAATCAGGCTCCACCAGATAGTCAATTATTGATTCATTTACTGCACCATTCTTGTCAGTAAGACCTTGACTCTCACACGTTCACATAACTCACCAAAAAGTCTAAAACAAATGCCATTAGTATCTGGCCGGCCAGAAACATCAGTAACAAGGACACAGTTGATAACCTCAGAGGCAGATCCATCTGACTTCGTAAACCCAGAATTTCATTGGAATTGAACAGAGAAAAGGTAGGAGGGTCAGGATGAAGGGCCATGGATAAAGGGGGGGTCAGGAAGGAGGGTCAAGGATAAAGAGGGGCCAGGGATAAAGGGATAAAGGGGGGGTCAGGAAGGAGGGTCAAGGATAAAGAGGGGTCAGGGATAAAGGGGGGTCAGGAAGGAGGGTCAAGGATAAAGAGGGGTCAGGGATAAAGGGGGGGGTCAGGAAGGAGGCTCATGTTTAGGTGTTATTTCTGGAGCTGCTAACAGACTGCCTACTACCTTGTGTCCCTCCAAATTATTATATAAATCTGTGTTTGCTCTCTCGTTATCTTCATGTCTGTGAGAACATTATTCCCACCGCTTAAACTGTTCACCCGAGGATTCAGTACACAGGTAAGACTATCATACAACCTGTTGATACTTCGCTGTACAATATAATTTTTCGACTTAATAATCAACCAGCGTCTGAGATGTTAATATTTACACAAGTGTGTGGCCTCGACTCTCACTATATTTCACTCTTGTTGTCCTCAGTTACGTGCTGAACGACGACGGGGAGGTGGCGGAGGTGCGCTACACGGCTGACGAATTCGGTTTTCGGCCAGAATCATCGCTGTTCCCAGTGGCTCCAGAGTTCCCTCACCCTGTCCCACAGTTCGTCCTCGACCAGATCGCCTTCGGTGAGGAACAGCGACGTCTGAAGGCCCTCAGATTGCAGGAGGTAGAGAAGCAGGAACAGCTGGAGCAGCAGCAGGAACAGTTGGAGCAGAAACAAGTGGTACAACTGCAAGTTCAACAAGAGGTAAAATTGCAACGGGAGGTGCAACTGCCAGTACTTACGCAGCAGGAGCAACTACAAGAGCAGGAGGTCCAACTGCAAGCTCAACAGCAGCAGGCGGTACAGGAGGAGACTAAACTGCAGGTGCAGGAGCAGCAAGAGATTCAGCAACAGGTGCAGGGGAAGGAGGAGCCTCAACAGGTATTACAAGAAGAGAAGTTGTGAGTTTGTGACTGTGGCAGTGACGAACACTGACCTGACGACGACCAGACGGGGACCGTGTTGGGTCACTGGACCTCTACTGGTTGTAAGGTTTTAATGTGTGGAAGTAAACCGGCTGACTCCTTTGTATTTTGTATCATTACTAAATAAAATAACAAGAAAAACAACAAGAAAATTATCATTAATAAATAAATAACTTCAATGTCAGATAATGTACGTGACTCATGTTTCACATCTTTGTTACTAAATCACCAATAGGATCACACAATGTAATGTTATAATTTGTGTTTACTGAGTGTTATCATTAAACTATATAATGGAGAGAAATATCATTCTTTCCTTATCACTCATATAGTTTTTATTCTTCTATAATCCACAATTCAGTTCAACTCAAGGTAAGTTAATAATAGGAGTCTTTACCTGGGTGAGAGCCGAGTGCTGTGTCTGTAGCGTTAGAGTGTGTAGATATTAACTAAGACCCCCCCCTTCCCCTACCTACCATCGACTCTCCTCATCAGGGAAGACTTGTAGAAGAACTCCACCGCCGTGTCTGGCTGGGCCTTCAGTGCAGCGCTTCCGTCCCATTACCGAGCACAGGCCTGAGACGAGAGGGCCAAGGGAGGTGCATCGACACACTGATATGAACTACTACTACTACTACCTACTACCCACGACTACTACTTTTTCTACTACTACTACTATTACTATTCTTTCTCTTTCCTCCATTTCCTCCCTATTACGTTCTCCCTATCACTCTCTCCCCTCCTCTCTCTTCCCTATGACCCACTCTCCACCATCCCTCCTTCCCCCCCCCACCGTTCTCCTCTCCACTATCCCTCCCTCCCCCACCACCACCCTCCAACTCCCCACTTCCTCCCTCCACTCCCTTCACCCCCTCCCTCTCCCCACTCTACCTACCACGGTTTCTAATTACCAACATTCCTCTTCTCTCACGATCAGCTTACGTCACGCCAACACTGTGAGGGATTTTCAGGGTCACGATAACTCACGGTCGACAACAGTAATCTGTGTTATTGTGTGTGTGTGTGTTTGCGAGAGAGAGAGAGAGAGAGAGAGAGAGAGAGAGAGAGAGAGAGAGAGAGAGAGAGAGAGAGAGAGACCTGATTTACCCCCCTTTCCCGTGTTCGTTTGTTTCTCTATCAGACTAAAAAAGGAACATTCCCCAATAAGGCTTCACAGTTTCGAAGCCTCATGGTCGAAATGATTCCTGTGACACCTTCAATAATTAACACTATATATAATACCTGTTATACCTACATTATTATATACATTAATAAATACGTAATGCTTGGAAATGGGTTCTCTGAGCTCCTTGGTATTAAGGGGATAAGTCATAATGCTCAAGGGTAAGTTATAATGCTCAAAGGGTTAAGTGATAATGCTCAAAGAGTTAAGTGATAATGCTCAAGGGGTTAAGTGATAATGCTCAAAGAGTTAAGTGATAATGCTCAGGGGGATAATTCATAATGCTCAAGAGGATAAGTGACATTGTTCAAGGGATTAAGTAATAATGCTCAAGGGGATAAGTTATAATGCTCAAGGGGGTTAAGTCATAATGCTCAAGGGGATAAGTTATAATGCTCAAGGGGATAAGTTATAATGCTCAAGGGGGTAAGTCAATGCTCAAGGGGATAAGTCATAATGCTCAAGGGGATAAGTTATAATGCTCAAGGGGGTTAAGTCATAATGCTCAAGGGGATAAGTTATAATGCTCAAGGGGATAAGTTATAATGCTCAAGGGGGTAAGTCAATGCTCAAGGGGATAAGTCATAATGCTCAAGGGGATAAGTTATAATGCTCAAGGGGATAAGTCAATGCTCAAGGGGATAAGTTATAATGCTCAAGGGGATAAGTCATAATGCTCATAATGTGTTTGTAACCCTTCAGTAGCGCTGGTCTGACTGGATGTGTGGATTAGTTGCTTCCCTCAGTGAACCTGGAAATATGCAAAGCTTCCCTATACTACCTGTTCGTTGTAGACTAATCAGGAGGAGAAATACAGGTAACATGATTCAGTATTCAGGAAGCCATATACAGTGATAAAGGTACCTAAGTCTTTGAATCTGAGAGTGAGGATTGATTTGTTTTATCATAAATCATGCAGGAATCAACAAAGGAGGTACCAAGAGAACACCTTATGGGACAACAGGTGGAAGTTAGTCTATTAACTCTCACCAGGTGGCCTTCAGGACCCAGGTGCTTAAATGCTTGTATAATAAATTTTCTCCTTACCAAGAGACGAAAGAACGTATCTAACAAGTACCACTAAAACCTATTACGAAAATGACTTCAAATTAAAATGAAATTAAAATTACCCTGAGACTCAAACTTATCTCTGGTTACGAGAAATATTTATATACCTGTCATTAAGGAACTAGACGTGGTTCATTCACCCTGAGGAAGAGCCCAACACTCCTGACCTCTCAAGACCTTATCTGGGTGACCTCGCTGACAACTCTCACTCTGTGTTAGGTCATTATCAGTTAAGGTTCTTCTCTGGGTGAGTGAACAGCGGGACAATGGATAACACTGTAGAGCCCTGATGAGGAGTTCGTTGTCCTGGCTGGTTCCTTGAAGACAAATTATAGGTCACCTGAAGATAAGACACCCAAGCTTATTTCACCTGATGATTACAACACCTTAACTCTACCTATGACGGTGTTAGGTTAGTTTAAGTTAGGTCATATATCGTTAAATTGTGTTTGGATAGGTTAAGTTAGGTTAGATTACGTTAAATTATGTTAAGTTAGGTTAAATTAGGTTAGATTACGTTAAATTATGTTAGGTTAGGTTAAATTATGTTATGTTAGGTTAAATTATGTTTGGTTAGGTTGAGTTAGGTTACATTACGTTAAATTGTGTTAGGCTAGATTAAGTTAGGTTATATTACGTTAAATTATGTTTGGTTAGGTTAAATTAGGTTAGATTACATTAGCATTAGTGCATTTAATCACCAGGGAAGATAAACTGGGATGTCTAATCTTCAGGTGATCCAGTCTCTCTTTTGTTTCTCTTGTATATAAACAAAGAACATCACTTTTTTTTAACTTATTGTCACTATATGGAAGTTATACTTATATCTCTACTTATACTTATATTTCTGGATAAAGTATTAAGTCAGGATATATATATAGTATACCAGCCTAAACTAGCTTGGTGAGTCTCTGAATATATATATACATTTCGATATATCTATTTAATATACTCAGTCAGTTAATCAGCGAGTATATCTCAATGAAAAATCTAATTTACTGGTATATTCAGCCAACAATACTCATATATCGTCTATTTTGGGGAATATACCGAGGCAGTAAATAAGTGGGTATACTTTATTGGGGAGGATAGTTGACAGAACAGTAGATTGGTGAGGATATGTCGCATACCTCCCCCAGGAGTCTTAATATTACATCGTCACCTTTGGATATAACAATACATCAGAGTTGCTGAGTCATTGTGGTATGTTGGTTGTTAAATACCTGAATCTCCGGTTTAATTGCGACTGAGAGAGAGAGAGAGAGATTTTTTCAAATTTCTCTTTCTCTTCCTTTATCGTTGTGTTTATTCCTTATCCCTCCTCCCCTCCCCCCTCCTCCATCCCTCGTCCCCATTCTTTCCTTCATTCCACGTCATCCTTTCCATCCTACCTCCACTTTTCCTTCCCTCCTTTTCTCCTCTACACTTCTCTCTCTCTCTCTCTCTCTCGTCTTCTTTCATCAGTTATTCCTTCCTTTGTGTTCACTTTCTGTTCGCCTTTATCTTCTCCTCCTCCACCCTTCACTATTATGTTTCCTGCCTTTCCTATTCTCATGTCCCACTCTTCCTCTCTTTATTCTTCCTCTCACTTTCACTCTCTTTGTCCTCCTTTATCTACGTTCCTCCTCTCACCTTTTACTTCCACTCCCCCCCAACCTTGTCTGTGTGTCTGTCTGTCTGTCTGTGTGTCTGTCTGTGTGTTTGTCTGTGTGTCTGTCTGTGTGTCTGTCTGTGTGTCTGTCTGTCTGTCTGTGTGTCTGTCTGTGTGTCTGTCTGTGTGTCTGTCTGTCTGTCTGTGTGTCTGTCTGGTTTCCTCCTTCTTCTCTGATTTAGTTTCTTGTTTCTATCTACAACCTTTAGTATCTCCTTCCTCTCTCCTCCCTCCCCTCTCAATTCATTTTTCTATCTCTCACACTCCCCTCTCACACTCCCCTCTCACACTCCCCTCTCACCCCCCCACTAATCAGACACACACACACACACACACAGCCGTACTCGCCCACACCTGAACCAACCCCACTCACTAAAACTGAAAGTGGTGTCGAGAGGGCTGTGTACAGTTAAGGGTCAGCCCAGGTGAGAGGGAGGGAGGGGGGAGGGGAGGGGGAAAGGGGAGGAGGGCAAGGTGACAGAAATTGCTGAAGGAGGGGCTTGAAGGATTTAGTTGGAGGAAGGAAGGAGCGAAGGAGGTAAGGAGGGAGTAATTGAGGGGAGAGGGAGTGATTAGGTAATTGGAGGGATTAGTTGAGGGAGTGAAGGAAGGAAGGAAGGGAGGAGGGAGGAGGGAGGAGGGAGAATTGAGCAGATGAGGTATGGGTGATAGGTGGGGCGGGGTTAGGGGAGGTGTGGGTGGGGGAGGGCGTTGTGAGGGAGGGCGGGGTGGGGAGGGTTTGGGGAAGAGGGAAAGGGCAAGAGGGAGGGCGGGGTGAGGAGGGCGTGGGGGAGGGTGGGTGAGGGGAGGGCGGGTGAAGGAGGGCGGGAAGAGAGGGAAGGCGTGGGTGAGGGAGGGCGTGGGTGGGGAGGGAAGCAGGAGGGGAGGCGGGGTGGGGAGGGCGGGGTGGAGGAAGGCGTGGGTGAGGGAGGGGTGGGGAGGGCGTGGTGGGGAGGGGCGTGGGGAGGGCGTGGGTGGGGGGGAGGGGTGGGGTGGGGTGGGCGGGTGGGGAGGGCGGGGTGGGGAGGTGGGCGGGGGTGGGGAGGGCGGGTGAGGGAGGGGCGGGGTGAGGAGGCGTGGGGTAGAGGGAGGGCGTGGGTAGGGAAGGCGGGGTGAGGGAGGGCGGGGTGAAGGAGGGCGGGGTGAGGGAAGGCGGGGTGAGGGAGGGCGTGGGTGGGGAGGGCGTGGGTGGGGAGGGTGGGTGGGGAGGCGGTGTAAACATTGGACATCATCATCAAGGGCAGCAGGTCTCACACACACACGTCATCGACAACACCTCACACTATTTCCTTATCTTGTTTCTCTTGTACCTGCAGGATCTCTCTCGCCCCTATCGTGAGAAACACAGCCGGTACGAGCAATCATCATCGCCCATCTTATCCTCACACCAATTAAACGCTCGTTCGGTCGTTATCTGTGTTGGCG